GCAGTCCCACCCCACACCCTTGTTTTCGCATAAAACCCACGCTCCTCTTGCAGCCCGCGGTCGTATTCTTCCAGGACAGTCATGTCAGCAAGTAGAGAAAGTGAGGGTGGGCAGACACATCGAACTTTTCCACGATATCAGAGAAATTCAGGAATGAAAATGACGTTACATACGAGGTTGATGCATTTGTGCATGTCGTACTAAGCAAGGTATAAAAACAGTTGCTTTATGAGGAATTAGTTCGTACCATTGAATATTTGACGCAATAGACAAGGTGTCACAGAAACCGATGTTGCTATAACCAAGTTTTACTGTATTTAGATATAAGGTTTTAGTGTAAGGGTTTGTGAAAGGCTGATTTTCTTACAAAGTGGCCAGTGGAACAGGTCAGTCTACAATGTGCTGAAAGGCAATTTCTACTTACAGTCAAGTCTTGCCTAATGGATTTCATTTGATCACAGGCATAGCGATAATCCTGAGTTATTACCCAGCGCTCTTTCACCTTCATAATTGAATTTTTTAAAACTTCCACTGGACGAACAATTGATGCATCAGGGGCCTGAAAGTAAATAACCAGATAAGGAATGGAAACACATTTCCTCATAGCAACAACTCAGACTATAAAAATATCTACTTTAAAAAGAATCTTGAGTAATACTTTAATTTGTTGAACCTTGCATCCCTGTTTTTCCTGTGTGCATGTGTGTACGAGATGCTTTGTTTCAGTGATGCAAGACAGGCAAATATTCATCAGGATCATGTGATTACGATTTCTGCCTACGGTATGGCATTATCACATCCACAAGTGCTCCTTCCAGTAACATCTGAATCATGTGACAGACATTTCTGAAGGTAAATTATTATCTCACCTACACTAAGGTCTTCAAAGTGGTCTATTCCATTCATGTTTCCTGACCAAAATGTTACATGTATTTCTCATCTCTCTCATGAGTGTTTTAATTTTTTTTTAATTCACATAGTGGAGTCCAGTTGGGTCCACTCAGCATGGCGGCCACTGATTGGCCTATTGTACCTGCCCCGGGTGATTATGACGACGGAGAATTTGGTGGAATGAAGATTGGCTGGGGAAACTGAAGTACTCAGAGAAAACCTACCCCAGCGCCACTTTGTCCACCACAAATCCCACTTGACCAGACCCGGATTTGAACACAGGCCCCCATGGTGGGAAATGAAGGACTAACTGCTTGAGGTATGCCACAGCCTCCCATGATTGTTACTTGCCTCACCAATCTCATCCTCAATTTGGTCATCTTAATAATATTTGGCAAAAAGTACAAACCCGCCTTATGCAAATTTCTCCAGCCTCTTGTAACTGCCTCCTTTGTAAACCCAAATTATAAAATTGGATACTTACTGAAGTGAGTCGAAGGTATGGCTTCTCAATATCTTGACATGTGCCCACAACATGAAATTCTGACCAATCAATGTCTCCACACAGATCCTCATATATGCCCATATTAGCTATGGTTGTGACCAAGCTTAATGGTTTCTTGCGTCGCTGTGGTGCAGTTTGTGATGATGCACTGCTTGCACTGCTCTTTAAATTAGAACTGAATCTTGCAGCCCGTTGCTGGAGCCGTTCTGAATTGCCAAGCTCATCACTATTTAGCCCAAATTCAGAATAAAAGTGAGATTTTGTGCTGTCAACAAAATGTCACTCCATTAAACTTCAACATCTAATGTCATATTCTAAGAACTGAACACTACACTATAATAAAGATAAATATTAAATTAATAAATGGGACAGCAGACTTTCACTTTCAACTATGAATAATTAAGATCTTTCAGTTTTATTGGCTGGGAAGAGGCAAGGAATGTCCAAAAGTCACAACAATAGATCTTGAAAAATAAATAAATAACAATTCAGTCTGCAAGTGGTTCACTTTCAATTGTAAGCCTTTCTGCCAATGAAATTTAGGTCTGAAACCCGGTACCTCCTGACCACAAGTCTAGAAGTCTAGAGGATTATTGTTATGACAGCCTCTTCAGTCCTGAGGAAAGTTCACTGGATAAATCAAAATGGACTTGATTTCCAATGGTAGACCTATGTACTCTTATTCTACCAGACAGCAAAAATTAAAGAGCAAAAGTATTTATCTTAGTCTTGAAATTTAAAGAAATTAAATGGTACACAAAACACAGACCATACAAAACAGTGTATTTCATGTTATCACTCAAGATGAACACAAATGAGAATTAAAATTTTTACAATTTACACAAAACTAAACTTACCCCTTACTGTTCTGTCTGCCTTTGCCCTTGCTCTTGTTTCCAGTTCGTCCCTTCAGGGATAGTCTATCAGTAACACGACCCCCTCCTCGGTTCTTTGTTACCCTGAGGGGCTTGAAATTGTCATCACTGCTTGATGAGCTGTCACTAAGAAACAACATGCAACATATTGTACTTTATTTAGCACAATGAATCTGCCAATTAAACTGCTTTTGGAATTAAAAGATTTGAGGGACATCAATCACACAATTCTGGCAAAATATTAGAACCAAAACAGAGTCATAGATTGTGACAAAGTGGACTAGTTCGAACAGCCATTAAATATGAACCCAAGTTTAGTAACACACAGTATCATAAGCTTTAATCTCATTAAGATGAATATGCAGTACACAGGATGCAAAACATACACTCAGTTGAAATTCATGCAAAATACTGTCAAATAATGTTTTGTGTACCAGCTATAAACAAATTTTCTACTTTTCAGAACACTTCTTGTGAGAAAAAATGTACTCCCTAAACTAATCAATTTCATGTATTCAGATTTCCTATTGTTACAGAGCCTGAAGGTTTATCACTGTGGCTCCCAAAGCCTGCTACTTAGGCTTATAATGAACCAATCTGATCCAGTTTACATCCTCATAATACATTTCCTCAGACCACTTTTTGTATTTGTATCTGTCTATTGTTATTTCATTTCCCAAGTATCCAAATACAGTAAAACTTGGTTATAGCAACATCGGTTTCTGTGACACNGTGGGGTGGGACTGCGTGAATAGTGCAAGAGGACGCGGCAGGTTGTTAACTGCATTCCTTTCCTAGAATCTCGTCTAACAGGACCTCACATTGTCTACTTACCCTATAGTGTTCCTGCCTAAACCCAGAGAAGTGCAGTAGCGAAAACATGGCAATGAAAAGGAAAGTTTTAAGCATTGAAGAGAAAGTTAAAGTGATTCGTGAAATATTGTGTGTATTGTCAGTGAAAAGCGCTGTAATATGTCTTTGATATTACACATTTGGGCAATTCCACATTAATGTTACATTAGTCTGTACTTAACTACGTATTTCACTAAAAAATGCAACATTTTAACTCGGTTTTTGGTAGATTTTTACGTGACTAACATAAGGCTACTGTGGAAGTGCCCATTTCGGTTACGACGACATTCGTTTATAACGACACTATTTTTAGGTCCCTTTGATGACGTTATAACCAAGTTCTACTGTATTTTCCTGAACACTCTGTTCCTAAACATTCCCAATCTTTGTTCCTCCTTCTCCGTAAGAGACCTAACTTCACGCTCTTGAAAATAGCTACCCGTCATCAAAAGATGTTAATATCTGCCAAAATAAAAAGACCAATTCAGACATAAAACAGAAAGGATTTTAAGGCCATTTTGCAACTAATTTTCGTTTACCTTCTAGTTCGTTTGCGTCGTACAGGACTGCGTGAACTGTCACTGGACCTTGACCTGTTCCTCCTTGACCTGCTCAGTGATGGTGACCTGGAGTGTGACCTTGTTCTCGACCTACTTCTTGAGCGAGACTTTCTCCTATAGCTCCTCACCCCTAAACGTGATCCCATCGCTGCTGAAAGACCAGATTTCTTTCCCCGTCCTCCAGACTGTTGTTTCTGCGGTGTTGAACTCGAACAGCTGAGGTCAGGAGAAGATGTTGGGTAAGTTTTCTTGATCTCGATAAACTTCCTTTCGCTGTGTATACTGCAAAAAGAAATTGAAACTTTTTAGTTCTTAAAAAGTTACAAGACTACAAATGTTTCATGATGCAAACTACAGCCCATGTACCTCATGACTCCCACAATATTCCAGCAAGGATTAGTTTATGAAATAGAGTGGAAAATATCAATTTCCTAGAATATCTGAAATTAATATCACACTAATTCTATTGGTAATGCATTCTTCCCTGTATGTAATTTTCTTGTCATCCTTATTTCAGCATTTCCACCACAGTAAAAGGACAGCTTGCATGCCAAATAATAAAAGCATACTTCATGTACTATGTCGTCCTCAGATAGTGATATATATAAGTACATCATTACAGCACCATTAAACAGTTGCTACATTTAATTTGTAACAGATTTCCAGTACCCATACACCACTACGAGATTCAAACATATTTTTTACACATGACTTTTCTTCTGTAAGGCTGCCTACATCCCCTATTTGTAGAGCAGATGAACTGTTAACCCTTCCGCACCGACATCCGTGTGCTGCACCTACCCTTTAAATAATCGTATGCCACCGACATTGGTGCAGTGTACCGACCTGCGCATTGTTAGCTTTGAAGGACGTTGCTGTAAAAACGAGGAAAGATATTCCAATTTTGTTTTCAGGAGTACATAGATTAATGTTTCATCTTTCTATTGGTATATGAGTTATTTATTTTGGACGAATTTTTAGCACAGTATTTTTATTTTATATCGTTAGTGTAATAGTTCATACTTTGGTCTCATTGCTCCTAGATTGCATTGAAGTTTTTCAAATTCTAAGTAAGGAAAATGTATAAAACTATATATCTTTCGACTCTATGGTCTTTGCTTGTCTATATGAGTCACTCACTGAAACCCCAGACGAAGGTTTTCCTTGAGTGGGTTGCTGTACACTCTGCTGACACAATGAAGTAGTCAAACAAGAGGGTCCTTTTTTATTGGAACCAAATGCAACCTAAGAAAACAAAGTTACGAATGATACAGAAATCTATGATGTCATAACACTTTCTTCTCTCAGTCGCGCCATAACCACGGCCTCTACAAGTAGGAAAGTTTTACAGGACGATGAACTAGATGAGCTCCTTGCTCACGACTCGGAAGTTAGTAAGTTCGAATATTCGGATAGTAGTGAAAACAGTGATAATGAAATTGAAGATCAGGCTGTACTTGATGCTATCCAAGATCATAGTATTGAAGATGACGACGAAATAGTGGCGAAGGTTCCAGTGGCGGATTCAGACGAGAGTCATTTTTGGCAAAATATGGATAATTATGATGGCGTTCGCGAACGGTTTTCTGAAAATTCGGGGCAGAGAAATCAGTCTGTGAATGTGCTCGACATAGTACAGACATTTCTACTATTTTTTACTGAGGATTTTGTAAACAATATCGTTCAGGAAACAAACACTTATGCGCAACAAATTTATATGTGGGAGGGTTTTTCCATTTAGATAACACCATCCCCC